TGGTGTCCCTCTCCCAGCTCTGTACCTCCCCGGGCAGGCCAGGATATTGGTATGGGAAGAGCAGGGCATATAACCCACCAGTGTCCACCTGACCCCCAGACCAGTGGCCCAGCATCCAAAATCCTGCCCTAACACAGAAAGGGAGCCTAGGCAGGTGTCTGCACATCTGTTTTCCCCATGTAAGTTGGGACTATAGACGACATTCCCAGAGAGGCATGAATGACCCATGCAATGGGCAGGCATAAGGGAAAGACCCGCACCCGTGGTCAAGCCCCAATCCAGGTGGGAGCTCGCTGGGACATTGCCTTGGTTCTTACACATTTCCAATGGCCTGGCAGGGGTGGTCAGAGTTGCCCCCATTGGACACAAGTACAGTCTGCAGGGGTCAGGGGGAGCTTCATCCAGTGTTTCAAGCCACCTCCATCTGCACCCCAGTCCACCTGGGGCCGGGAACTGAAGTCCAGGGGTATTTTGTCCCCTCCTCGGCTATCAGCTCTTGCTTTCTTCAAGGCAGTTATTCTAAAGGACCCCCCAGCTGCCTTGCCATCAAAGCCAAGAGGGGGTCGTTAATCATTGCTGCTCCAGGAATTGGAAAGAGTTGGGATCATCCCACTGCACAGAGTCTGTCTCCGTAATTCAGTTTTAAAGCATGAAAAAAGGGAGTTGATGAAATTCCACTATCAGTGCTGAGCCAATATGCAAAATATCTCACCCCTAATCAAATAGCTATTATGTTTTCATTTCCATTTCGGCGTCTGGCTTAATGAGCAGGAGACGGATCGGTGCATGTGGCGCCTGCTCACCATGATAACCGAGGGGCTCCGGGCAGCGGGGGCATGCCCAGTGCTGCCCTGGCTGGTGGTGACCACTGTCATCACCCATGGGTAACCCCAAGACAGGTGCTCATCCTTGGGCATCGGCCTCTGGACCCCACCAGGCAATGGGGTCAGCCTCGCCCTCACTCCAGGTCATTTGCAGGTTGAGGAGAGGTGTGAGGCCACACCCGGCACAGAGAAGGGCCATGGTCTGAGCCTGTGTATGGAAGGGTGACTTATTGGAGGAGGCTCCTGCCCCACCTACCTCCCACCACTGCTTTCTCACCCAGGCCCATGAGCAGGTCAGTTCACCTTGCTGGGCCTCAGTTTATTCATCTGCAAAGTGGGCATGACCCAGGCTTCTATCTTGGGAGGTGCTGGGAGGTGCATTTGCCCATCATGACTATCATCAGGGTCTGCCTCCCCCTCCACATAACCCCATCACCCTCCTGTTGTCCTCTCCCACCACTCCTCCCTGTGTGGGGAGTGTACCCCCCTTCTTACACCTTCCCCACCACCTCTACACCCCTGGCTACAGGGGGGCAGGGAGTACAGAGGACATGTATAAAATGCTGAGCACAAGGTAGTGCTTAGTCATAGTGCATCCCCCACCATTTCCCAGGCCCTGCTGGGTGGTGGGTGGTAGTCGCTAATGGTGATGGCAGTTGTGGGCCATATGTACTGTGTGCCAGCCCTGAGCTAAGGTCAGATACAGGTGTTACCACATTTCATCCTGTAAGGTAGGAGCTGTGTGGTTACTGAGCACAGAAAGGTAGAGTTCCTTGTCTGAGGTCACACAGCAAGGACACCTCCTGCCTGGCTGAGCTGTTAGGGTCTCTGAGCAGAGGGTCCCACAGGGACAGGCAGGCTCTGTCCTAGCACAGGGCACCCAGGGAAGCATAGCATCTCACCCATCTCCCTGGCCAGCTGAGAAACCTTCCTACCCGAGCCCCAGGTGGAACCAGGGGTGTTACAGGGGCTTAAGCAGGGACAATGTGGCATGCTGTCTGTGCGTGCTGAGGCAGGCGCTGGGCGGTGCTGCATCCTCGTTGTGGGCTTGTAGCGATTTGCTGGTTGGCCATCGACTCCTGCATTATCAGAGCTGTTTTAATTGTGCTGGAACCGAATTAGCGGCATTAGAATAAATTGCCTCGGCAGGCAGCCTCTTTCTCCACGCTCATTGTCACGCCTTTGTGTAGAGCCGACGCCTTTGTCTTCCCATAAATGGACCCAGCAGGAGCTCAGGGCCTCCCTGGGTGGCTGAGGCCCACTTGGGTAAGGCACCAAGAGTAGGGGCTGCCGTCCCACAGGGCCTGGCAGCTATGAGGAGAGGAGTGTCAGCCCCACCCCAATGCTCTGGTCCCTGCATTCCCTGAAAGCAGGTGGCTTCATACCCATTCTCCAGAGCAGGCAGCTGAGGCCTTGAAATCTCATGGCCCATTCAGCAGGAGGGGCCGCAGCTCCTGGGCAACCCCTCCAGCTCTGAATGAGCCACAAAAGGCACCAGGGCTTCTAGAAAGGGACCAGCAAATGGGCTGACCTCAGGATTGTGTTGGCCACAGTGACGGGCAGTACCCACTCAGGGCTGACGCCATGGGAGAGGGGGTCAGAGGCTGGCCTCCACTGCATCCAGTGCTTTCTACCAAGGTGTGTGCCAAGGGAGGTTACTGCGGGTCAGGCCTCCCACCTGTCCCAGGGGCACGAGTCTGACCGGTCTGGGGTGTGCCCAGCCCAACAGAGCCTGCTTGTGTGGGCGCATTGAGGAGAGCACAGAGGCTTAGCCTGGGGCTGGTTCTGTGTGGTCTGAGTAATTATAGCTCTGAGGTGTCCTAGGGAGGCTGGGGCTCTGCAGGAGCTAAGTCCAGAGGGCTACAGCTGGAAAATGACCCTGCCCCTTCGTGGACCCTGTGTGGTCCCCAGGGTTAGGATCCATCTCCCCTTACCCACCCCCTGCCCCTGCCTCTAGGTCTGCCCTACTCTTCTCTCAGCCTTGACTCCCCGCCCCTCCTTCCTATTCCATATCGGGGTCTGTCCGGATTCCGGGCCTTTGCACAAGCCGCTTCCTCTGCCCGCTTCTCAGCCGTCAGCCTCATATCAACATCTTCCCCTGAGAATTGCTGGTAGCATCTCTGTCTTTTTTTTTCTCTGTCTTTCTCATTTGCCTCCTTCCTCAGAGCACATGTATAATTTTCTGTTGTTTCGGTTTGGGGCCTGTCTATTGTTAATCTCCCCTGCCGCCTTGGAAGTCCCTGCAGAGTCCAGAGGTCCTGGCACCTCTGCTTTCTAGAACAGTGCCTGCCCTCATGTCCGCGAAAGTTAGGAAAGGCGTCTGCGCCACCAGACACAACTCAGTTTTCACAGCTGCAGCGAGCCATCACCCACCTGTGGTCAGAGAGGTACCCTGAAACGCAAAGAGAAAACCAGCTTTGCACCTCCCTGCTCCATGTCAGTTGCTAGGTTTTGAAAGTAAGCCTGGGAACTCGGCCACCACATGCTATCATAGCCTTGTGGGTTTCCCTGCCCTGCTGCCATCAGCCAGCTTCGGTGGCCCATTGGACGCTGGCTGTTTGCACAGTTGTTACTTGATGGGCAGGCCCCGCCTCCCTCCATCAGCTAACCCCCCAACCTCGTTCAGCCCCTGGAAAACCCTGGCCAAGCTGGGGAGTAAGGGTACAGGAAGGAGGACGCTAGTGATTCGGTGAGAAGCCCCTGAAACTGGACACATTTTGGTCCCTCTCTGTTTTTCTGGGGGGAGAGCACTAGATGTCATCGGATTCCCAGAGGGGTCATGACATATAAAAGGTCAGGAACCACCAGCCACTGAGGTGTGAATCCCAAGCAAGTTGCTGTTGCTTCTAGACTTTTCTTTCTGCTCGTTTTCCTTAGCAACAAGAGGGCCTGAGTGCTTCAGGCTCGGTGGCCTGGGCCCAGAAGCCCTCCTCCCCTGCCTCATTCCGCAGCTGGGGTTAGAGAGTCGGGACCCTCCCCCACACACACCTGCTGACGGGTGGGAGGGGGCAGGGCAGGTGGCCGCAGAGGAAGAGCTTGGGGAGGTACAGTAAGTCCTCACTTAATGTCATTTATAGGTTCTGTGACTCTAAGTTATTTGGCATGTGACAAACCAACTTTGCCCTAGGCTAATTGATACAAACCTGAGTTAGTCTCCTACAGCATCTCATCAATGCTGTAAGTAAACGATGTTATTCAAGGACCTGCTGTACCTGGGGCCCAGGCTGAAACAGGGATAGAAGGGGCTTAGGTGATTTGGTGAGCAGAATGAGGGGCACCTGTTCAGTTTCTCTCTGCCCACTGCATGGGCACCATCTGTCTGACGGAGCAGAGGTCGCCAACCTGACCTGCACTCAGGGGCACTAGCTTGTCCAGCTTTGACACCCTCCAAGGGCTGGGCTGGGGTCAGGTCACCTGGGCTCCCATCTGTCTTCTCACCTGTAAGGTGGGCTCCGTGAGGTCCCCCTGTAAGAGCCTCTGGGGAGGGTGGGGATCAGAGTTAGGGGACCTTAGGCCTGTGGCACTCTAGCCCTCAGAGGTTGAGTGGAGATACCTGTGTGCTCACCTGTGCCTCATCAGCTATTTATTCCTGTAATCAGCTTTTCTGAGTCCTCCTGAGTGCTGGGCCCTGGGCCCACCCTCAAGAAGCTCCCAGACCTTGGAACCTGAGTGTGGGCTGTTTCCCGGAGGAGGGGTCCGGGGCGAAGGGAACGGCTATGTAAGGTACAGATGTTTACCCACAGGGGCTGTGAGTGCACATTGGAGTTCTGCAAATACCTAAAGTGCGTACCTGTGGGGAGGGAAGGCCTGGTGGTCATGTAACCTCCAGGGGCTCCCTGAACCACAAGAGTCCCCATAGCTGTTACCATGGTTTGGAGCAGAGGGGAGAGTCTGAGACCATCATCCTGGCAAGAGCATTCATGGGGCCAGCAGAGGTTGTAGGGTAGGCGAGGTGGAACGGGAAGGCCAGTGACCCCCTAGGTGTTGGAATTGTTGCAGGGGTTGGCCTGATATGGGGTAAGGTTCACACATCAAGTCTTGGGGACCCTGAGGGAGCGCCCACACTGATGGCTTCCCCCTCGTGGCCTCTGACCCCATAGAGTCGCCAGGGTACACCATGATGGGACAGCATCTCATGATTCCCCTTGGGCTGTGTCTGCAGGTTCCCTCGGAGACATGGAGGCTGGAGAAGAGCCCCAGGCCGCAGACATTGGCCTCCCAGAGCCAGAGGCAGCAGCGCCCAAGCCCGAGGCCAAGGAAGAACCCAAGCCCCTGAGCCCTTCCAGTCCAGGTGAGTCGGGCAATGGGTGTAGCAGGCTGGGGTCTGGCACTCTGAGCCACCCCACACCTTTCACATTCTCACCTGTGACTTCATGGGAGCCAATCCTTCTGGGTTTCTACATCTGTGAAGTAGCATTGAGTTTGGTGTATCTGTGTGCCTTATAGGGCCAGGAGACACCCAGGTGGCTCCCAGCCAGGGGCCTGATCCCAGGGGCTGGAGGGGACTGGGGGTAACCCCATTTTATAGATGAGAGAATGCAGCCAAGAGAGGTTAATGACTTGCCCAGAGTCACATAGCCTAAGTACCTGAGCAAGGATCTGAACCCCAAGTCTGAATTCACCTTGGTTCCCATCTCCCCACCAGCTCCTCACCCCACCCCAGGCACCTGGAATCTTTTCTTGGGACCTCCTGGTGGCAGTTTCCCCAGTGGAGGGTGGGACTCATTTCTCAAGCTGAGAACAAGTCTTGGAAGGAGAGGCAGCCCTCCACCCAGGAGTGAATTAACCTGACACCAGGAGGCCTGCTCAGGACAGGTCCCGGAGGGGCCTCAAAGCTGGGGCAGCCTCTTAGGCTAGTTGTACCCCAGAGACCCCTAGTAGGAGGGGCTTCACTGAGGCAGAAGCATTGGGGGAGGTCAGCACTCTCACCTGTTTTCTAGAAGAAGAAACAGGCTGGAGGGCTGGTAGTGGGAGGATGAGGGGCTGGGCTCTGCCTGGGCCATCTGCTGTGAGCCCCGCTCTCCTGCCTCCCTGGATCCTCCACCGTGACCGTGGGTGGTGATTGTGCTCCCATTTCCGTGACATACTACAGATGCACACCCAGGCTGAGGTACTCCCAGGCCTAGTCTGATGGGGGAAACAGCCACAAACTGGAGCATTTGGGAGGGTGGTAAGTGGGTGGGCATGACTGGAGTGAAGGAGAGGTGGGGGGGAAGGACACTGAACAGAGACCCAGAGGATGGGTAGAGCCGCTCATGCTGTGGGTGCACAGGGAAGGGTATACCAGGCAGCGGCTCCTGCAGCGCAAAGGCCTTGGTAGATTGGAGAGTAGACGGCAGGAGAGCTCTGCAGGGGAGGAGGCGGCGGCTAGAAGCCAAGGAGGGACAGAGGTGGGCAAATGTTCCAAACAGACCTCGGTCTCTGGCAGGGAGGTTCCTTCTCACTGTGGATCCCCCCCATCCCCAGCATTTCCCAGTCCCAGAGTATCAGGGTCCCCCTGCGATGACCGCAGGCCCAGGAGCCCAACAAGCCTCCTCTGAGACCTGCTGGTTCCTGTGTCCCTTTCCCCAGCAGCAGGCCCATTGGAGTCACCGGGGCTATGACAGTGCGAGGAGGCTGGGCCAGTGGGACTGGAACCCAGGGCTGGGGCTCGCATCACCCTCAGCTCACCGGAGACTATGGGGCCTTGTGAAGGGATCAGGGGCCTGGCCAGCTGTGGTTCATGATTGTTATCTCTGCCATCATCATCATCATCATCATCATCATCATCACCCCCACCACCTCACATTGCTTAGTGGAGCACCAGCCTTCCCCCCAGCTGGTCTCCAGCTCATATTCCTGTCCTTCCTGAGCCTCAGTTTCCGAATCTGTAGCTGGGCATGATCCCCTCAGGATGGCCTTTGGGGCCGAGGGAGTGTGTGAGGGGCCCCTTGTCACCATCACATTACTATTAGATGCTGTGCATGGGAGGCCTCGCAGGGGCCTTGATCTGCCAAAGGGCAAGTGGCTCGTTACTTGTGGACTTTGACCCAGTGGCTTTCCTAGGGTGCTGGGCCCCTTATCTGATCCGGGAGCTGGGGCTGCACGGGGGCGGGGTGGGGAAGGAGCTGGAAAAAACAGCCGGGGTTGCACCTGGCACAGGCCATGGTGATAACTTGGTGATGGGCTAGATAAGGCGGCAGGAGCAATATATGCCTCTCGGGCGGGCCCAGCGCGGCTCTCTCTCAGTGGCTGGAGCTCAAATGCCAGCCATGTTGATTTATAGCCAAAAATAATAGGACTTTTATACTGTGTGATTGATTTATTTGATGTTAATCATGGCCCTTATCTTGGGTATTAATAATCTGCCAGGCGCGTGACGTCACCAAGGGGGGGCTTTTATGGGAGCTCATCGATTGGGGGCTGAGGTAGTTATCAGGCCAGCAGGGAAGGCAAATATGCCCTTTGGGCTGGAATTGGGTGCAGGGCCTGCTGGAGAGGCCCCCAGCTGCCCAAGGAGGAGACCGGAAGGCGGAGCCCACATGTATGCCCCTGGCCTGGGCGTGCCTGGTAGGGCATCCTGCACTCTAATTATTAACAGCAGCTGGAATAGCAATTATTATTGCTACAATTAATGAGGGGGATGAGGGGTTTTAAAGGCCAAGGGGAAAATTGATATGTCTGATCCTCCCCAATTAGAGCAAGCCTAGGGGTGGGTAACCTTAGGCACTTGTTCACCAACCTGGGCCTTGGTGTCCTTCCTGGCCACAGGGTGGGCAAGAGGTCAGGCAACTTGGTGCCCAGAACTTGGCAGGGCCTGATGGTGTTTTCCTCCCTGCAGAAGCTAATCCCCTGCCCCCACCACCGACACCGCACCCCACTTCCCCTGGAGACCCCAAGGAGACGGAGGCGCAGGAGCCAGAGACGAGTCTGGAGGAGGAGACCAGCAGCTCCTGGAGTGGGCCAGGTAACCATGCCTGTGGTAATGTCCAGCAGCATTGCCCCGGGCCCAGCCTTCTGGGAGCTGACCGCTCTGATAGCTCAGGTGGGACAGGCCTGCCCTGCTGGCTGGAGAGGTTGGTGGCAACCCACTGGGCCCAGGCCTGTGCCTGTTCCAAAGTCCAGCCTGCCTATGGGGCCAGTGGTATCGCTGGAGGCAAGCACTGAGCCGTGCCATGCTCAGAGCTGAATCCCAGGCCTGGTGTGGCAAACCAAAGTGTCCTGAGGGTTCCCAGGAGGCAGAATCTGGTCTGGCTTGGAAAGAGGAGCAGGTTTCCCAGGAAGCTGAAACAGCCAGGGCAAAGAGGGAGGTAGGTGGTACATGCAAAGGGCCTTCCCACCTGGGCTGGAGTTTTAGAGCTGTACAGGTGCTCAGGCCTGTGCAGGGTAGCCCACCCCCATCCTGCCCCTGGGGTGGCTACAGGCACCTGGGAGACAGGAGGTAGCTGCAAACTGCCTGGTCCTGGACCATAGGGAGTGTCTCTGAGAGTGGTTCTGGGCATCCGGTCACACAGAATTCCAATTTGCAGCTGGAATTCTGACCTTGGAAGTCCCACCAAATGTGTTCTTTCTGCCCCGCCCAACTCCACACATTTGCGAAGAGAAGTTAGAATGTCAGTTATCTCTATGGCTCTTCAATTCAGGGACGCGGGGTGGCGTGTGGGAGGACTCGGCAGGGCTGCATCTCCAGGCACAGGTACAGCTTGCCATGGAAGGCTGTTACGTGGGAGCTGGGAAGGAGGAGGCAGGGTGTGGTCCTTGGTGACTGTAAGGATGGAAGGGAGACTGTGTACTCATGCCAGGCACATGTGTGGATGCAACAAGCATTTATTGAACACCTGCAATGTACCAGACACCTGTGAGCACAGTCTCCAGGGAGTGTGCACACATACAGGCATAGTAATACACATGAGGTTCATGACCGGCAGGAAAAAGGTACATGGTGAGGGCCTCACCTTGCTGGGGGTCACGGAAGGCTTTGCCAGGGCAGAGGGGCACAGAGTGACCAAGGGGCTTATCTAGGGTCACTAGCTGGGAAGTGGCAGAGCCAGGTTTGAACCCACCACCTGGCTCCCAAACCGGCTATGGGAGCGCCAGCCTGAGTTATCACCCAGGTGGTGCATGTCCACCCCACAGTGTCAATACCATCACCCCCATTTCACATAGGACAAACAGAAGCCCCTAGAGATCAGAGCCTGATCCCAGGCCAGGGCCAGGGTACACCCAGGAGCTTCCTGTGCTATTTGCATCCCTGGGGGCCAGGGGGCTCCCTATCAGCTCCCACAGATATGAAGTGGGCAGCGATGGGCCGATAAGTGGCCGCTGGCCAACCGCCGCGGTGGCTACCCCCTATCAGACCCCAAGCAGGCCACACTTATCACCCAGCCAGGGAAGCCAGAGAGGCCCAGTGGGCTGTTATCTTTCAGGGGCCACCCGTGCCAGCAATGGTGCGGCAGGGCTTCGTCGGGGCCCAGCTGGGTTGGTGTCCCCGAGGGCACTGCCCAGCAGTGACCGTCTAGGGGATAGGGGTGCAGCCAGTACCTGGCCACCTTCATCTGCAAGTCCTGGTGCTCTTTGCAAGTTGAAGGCCCTCTCTCTTGTTCCCTGTCCCTCTGAGCCCCCTCTGCCTGTCATGTGTGAGCGTCTCTCTCTGTCTCTCTCTCTCTCCCCCCCTGTCCTTTGATCCTTGACCTGCAGCTAGTCCCCGGACTTCACGTGTGAGGGAAAACGCAGCCCCTACCCTCACCAGCAGCTCATGAGGCAAGCTTGGGGGCACCACCTACCTGTCCTCTCTGGGATGGGGGTGGCAGCTTGGACCACAGTGCACCCTACGCTGTCTGGCTTTGGGAGAGGGACTGGGCACAAGCCTCGGTTTCCCATCTGGCCTGAATGAGTGTGGGAGCTGGTCGCCGCACAGAGCCCAGGGCTCCACATACATGCCACAGCCCATACTGGCTGCCCTTCCTCTCCTTTCTGGCTGCCATCTGCTGGTCGGGATCCAGGTGACAGCAGCCCAGGGGAGAGGCCAGGCCTCAGTGCCCCTCTCTGCAGCTGCACGGTGGCTGCAGCGCAGTAGCCCTGCCTCCAGTGGTCAGGGCCCCAAGCAGGCAGCCAAAAGAACCCCCAGGTGGCACCCACATGGCACTGGGCAGAGGAGAGGCCTCCCTGCCCCTCTTCTCCCAAGAGGCCCTTCATAAACACTACAAATACAAGTGAGGTCCTGGACGTGCAAGGGCTTTGTAAGCACTAGAGTGCAGGTCCTGGGGCCTGCATGTGACCATCGCCACTCTTTCCCATCCCATCATCTCCAGGCCCCATTAGTGCCTTACCCTATCTTCCTCCTACCACTGGCTGATACCTGATGACTCTAGAGCTCCAAAATAAGACTGGGGAGGTGTTCAGGGTATTTGTTTTCATTTTCTAAAGTTATGAGCTGTGTCAGCTGCTGGTGGCTTGGTTCTCAGGTGTTACTGCTTCAAGTGGGACCCTCGAACTGTCCTGAGAGCAGGAGCACAGACCCCAACTCAGCCTGCCCAGCCTGGGTCCAAACTTTGTTGAGTGACTAGACAGGTTGCTTGTCGTCTCTTGGCCTCAGTTTTCTTATGTGTTCAGTAGAGCTAAGGAGAGTGCCGGCCCCTCAAGGAACTGTGAGGAGAGAGCCGTGCCTGGTGCAGAGTGGGCACCCCACCTCGGCTTTACCTTCAGGGCTGCCATCTTGCTCTGGCAGCCTGGGTTACTCTGGAATTGGGGGTGTAGTCAGGTTCTAAAGCAGAAGCCATGGTATGGCACAGCGAGAGTTCCATGCTTGGGGCCAGCCAAGCTGTGCATCCATGGAGCAGGGAGAAGCACCTTCAGCTCCCTTGTGGGTGGTGTTCATCTCGGCCCCACAGATGCCATTACCCACCCCTCACCCAAGATGCCCTCTCTGCACCAGAGCCAGATCTCCTGTCTGTCAGAGCCCAGGGTCCAGGCTGGGTTAGAGGCCCAGCTCTGCAATGACACCACCGTGTGGCCTCTGAGATGTCACCTTCTCCTCTGAACCACCAGAGGTGGGTGAGAGCTAGGGCAGAGGTTCACTGAGGAACGCTAACTATGCCTGGGATGTTCACCTCCTGGAGCTCAAGCAACACCAGCTTGAACTGTGGGTATCTGGGAAATGAGGGGTCCTAGGGAGTGTGTGACCCTGGAGGGCCGACAGCAGGAAGGGCTGAGAGCATGTGAGAGGGGGAGGGTGCCAGGTAGAGGGCACAGCCCATGCAAAGGCCCAGAGGTGGGATCAAAGCCCAGCAAGGAGGCCCTAGGGCCCAAGGACAGGAGGAAGAACCAGGGAGGGATCAGTTGGGTAGCGTCTGGTCCCAAGGGAGAGGAGGTGGGGGTGGGATCTGAGCAGAGGGGGATCTGGCTCTGCCAAGAGAAAGTGGGCAAGTACAGATCAGGGGACCCACTCCAGCCTCTGGCCTATGGGGAGAGAGTCACAGCTCTCAGTGGGTAAGGCCACCCGCAGGGCTGGGAAAGGGGACATTGGGCCTGAGCTGGCCCAGCCCAAGCCTTCAGCCCAGCTCAAAGGGAAAGGGGGCAGGCAGCAGGAAGAAGGAGAGCTCAGTAGTTTTATCTTTGAAATGACCTTGTTTGCTGGAGGGGCTGACTGTTTAAAATTATGATATGCAAATGGCTGCAAGCTATAATCTATAATCCCCAAAGCCTGTCTGGGAGGGTGGCTGCCATTGCCTTTACCCTGCTAGCCCAGAGCTCTCTACTCCTCAGGGGTTGGCTCCACCCACCCCATGTCCCATCCCCACTCCAGTCCTCTGTCCCCACACCTCCCACCACCCTCGTTCCCCTCCATCTCTCCACTTAACATCCAGAAGAAGCAGGTCAGACAGACAAGCAGCCCCCATATGGACTGAGAGCCCTGAGAGTCCCATCTGACTGTGTGGGGGTCCTAGGCCTGTCACCTACCTCATGATTCTGTCCAAGCTTCTGTCCAGTGGCAGTCGGCATGGCCTCGGCCTGCCTGGTGGGTCATGAGAAGACGAAGGGAGCAGCCACAGTGTGTGGGGCTGGGCCCAGGTTTGGGCCCCCAGGGGGGCATCGTGTATGGGGTCCCCTCCCCTTGGAAGCCCTCTAGGGTCTCTTCCCACTGAGTAGCCCCTTGGCCAGCAGAGGAAGGGTGACTTGCCCCCTGAGGGTGGCTAGAAGAGGCTTCATTCCTCTGACCTACCTCCCTCCCCTCCCCGCCCCACCCTCTGTGCCCAGCACAGAGTGGACTCCAAAGAGCACAGTCTGTCTGGCACTCTGTCTGCCTGTTTGGAGGCAACAATGTGGTCCAGATGCCCTGGATGCTGAGCGCAGGGCTGTTCACCGTGGGTGCCGTACTCACTGCGGAGCAGGAGGGGAACCCAGGAGGCCTACTGGGCTCCTCACCAGCCCTGGGGACATCAAGTGGCCATGAGGGCGGCCTGAGCTTCACAGGCCGAGGAAGGAAGGGGGTAGCCAGGGTCACATTTAGTGGTCAGGGTAGTGGATACCCAGGCCTGTGGCCTGGCTGTGTGATCAGGGCCCCAGGAGCAGGGTCTCCTTCACCCATAAATGTCTCAGGCCTGGAATTCTTTCCTGGTGACCACTGTTTACGAAATAAATTCAATGGCCCAAACATCAGTATCACCGTCTTTGTCCCAAGCTCCATCCCCAGCACTGTAGGGGCTGATGGGTAGGCTGGCCATGTTCCCACAGCACTGCTGGTCAGGTGGTTGGAGCCAGGTCAGCACCATACCCCTAACCCCCAACCCCAAGCCGAGGCCTGAAGGACAAATTGGTGTGGAGCAGGCGAAAGTGTTCAAGCAAGGAGCTAGCGTGCACAAAGGTCCTGAGGTTTGAAGTGGGGGTGTGGCTCAGGCATTAGAGGCTGGAGTGGGGGTGGGGAAAGGTAGGATGGGGCATGCATGGGTCAGGGTTTGGGCTCAATGC